GAGCAGTACACCCCCCCCTCGGCTGCCCGCTCCAGCCATGGCACCGTCAGAGAGGCAAAGGCGAGTGGGCAAGAAACCTCCAGCCTGTGGGGTTTACCCTGATCCTCCTTTTGGTACCGCTGGTGAGGAGCAACGGGGTGGAAATGCACTGAAAGGAACTGGTGCGACCGTCTCCTCCTGCTCTGCAAAGTTACCACGTGTGGATGGGAAAACCCGACGGTGCCACGGGCGGTGGGAAGGCCCGGCTGGGAGTGGGATGCTATCACTGTGCCCACCGCAGCCCCGCAGTGGGAACACACATGGTGGAGAAGCCTGCACCCCTCTGCCTGCTGCGATGCCCTCGGCACCAACCCCCCGACAAGCTCTCCCCAGACCCACTACATGGAGAAACGCTCTGTGCCCATGGCACAAGCCCCCGGGAGCCGGTAGCAGTGGTGGTGGGTGGCTGCTAGCCAGGACACGGTCAGAACACATGTTTCGAAGGGCTGCGCACGAGTTGGGGGGAGGTACCGTCCCCCCGCACCGGACCTGGCCAGGGACAGGGGAGACGGAGGCCCTGCTCCAGCAAAGCCTGCAGGACATCAACTATGTCAGCACCCAACGTCCGTGAGGATGCTGGCCAGCTTTCCAAACCTGTCTGCAGTGCTGAGACACCCTTCCCACCCTCCCTTAGATAAATAAATTGAAAAAATAAAATCAAAGGAATTAGATTGGCAGGAGTAACGAAACCGTTGCTGCAGCGCTGTCTCGTAAATAAACTGTCAGACCGGGCCAAAGAGTAAAGGCTGTGCAGACCTTCTAATTTGAGGGAAGATCAACAACGCTGGAAAAGTTTGTTTTTCCAGCGCTCATTTGTTTTGTTTGCCAATGACATCAGTGCTTTCTGATAGGGTTTGCTTCCTGAGGATGCTGGCTATCTTGCCAGCGTTTCCGACTTGTCCCCATCAGCCGGTACAACTCTGCATTACACTGGAAACAGGGGCCAAGCTTTCCTCTGGAAAGTTCTCAGCAGCACTCTCAGATGCAAAGAAACAAGCGCAGGCTGAGCGGCGGAAATCAGCATCAGCCCCGTGTACGGGGACACAATGGGGACCCGCAGCCTCGGCGAGCGGGACACAATGGGACCACCAGACGGAAATGTCATCAGAGCACCTTGTCTCGGGGTGCTCTGCCCAAGAGTGGGGATCTCATCGCTGGCCCCGAGAAAAGCCCAAAGCACTCCTGAAAGACACCCGGAAGAAATCTGGTGCTAGAGCTTCCGTTGAGCTGCTTCTGGAGCCCATTCTCAGTGGGGGAAATGCACTGGTTTCTGTTGATGGTCTGCCTTTATCTGCAGTTTTTTTCAGTGGCAGTGAAAAGCCTTATTATTTTGGAGAGGAGTACCACCACCACGTGTACGATGACCAGTATCAGTGATGATGAATGCCAACACTCGCAGCAATGGCAGAAGCAGCTCTTACCTCCATGCTCTGGAACGGCTTGCGTGCCATCGAATTCTCCCTGCATGGTGTTTCGAGCAGCCCGTTGCTCCTTCGGTTATCCCTGCTTCCTGGCACAGCACCCACGTACTGTCAGAAGTGACACAGAATTTGGCCCTGGGTGCCCTCTATTACATCTCTCCCACTCTCTGCTACTTGAAATAAAGTGGAAGGTGGCAACCCTTTAATGGTTTGAATACGACCCCTGAAGTCCTTCTTGCGCATGATTCTCTCTGCCCACCTCTGCAGAACTATTTATACCATTTTTCTAAGTGATTCTGTACAACTTTACAGAAAAGAAAACATCGAAGGAACATGACTCTTATTGCAAAATGAAGCATACAAATATAATGAATTGCCAAAATCAAGGCACCCTGCATGGGCACACAAGTTGCTGCAGTCTGTAATTACATGACTTCAGGCTACTGAATTCTGCAGGACTCCTGCCTCGGTTGATGTGCAGGCTAGGTGATGCTAGTCTTCCTGGGCTTTGTCTACAGCAGCTATCCAAACACTGTTCTCAAGACAGAGTTACTAACAGGCATCTGAATTACAAAGCGTATTATCTAGATGGGTCACACATTGAACTAGCTTATCTTCACTCACGCCTGGGTGTCATTATTCCCATTTCATATCAGACATGTGCCAGACAGAAGTATTTATGCAGACAGACTAAAGTGAAAACAATCCTCTCCATTCTAGGCGCCCAGTCTGAAGTGCCTACAACCTGATTTTTTAAAGCACTTAGAACTAAAAGTGAACTAGGCATGTCCAAAGCAACTGCTGCAAGAACCTAGTGCCTCTGCACATCAACGTAAGTGTGGCAAGTTAGCTGTCCACACAATGAAGACAATGGGATGTGCCAAAAAATTGGTTGCAGTAATTTGTCTACCATGCTCTCCTCCATCCCTCTGCCCATCTAATCCAGCACCAACACTTTCATGTCCCTCCCACCTCTGTTAACTCCTCACCCTCACGCACCCTCGTGCCTTCATTTCCCATACCCACCTGTCCTTCTTGCCACCTCCCAGCACCCCCTTCCTGCCTTCCC